AAGCTCCAGCCTCCCCCGCAGACTCCTCGGGGTCCCTGTCCGCCTCAGGCAACTTCCTTGCGGAGCTCAGCAGTTTCACACCCCTCTCTCCTAAATATCCTGAAGTGGGTTTTTTTCCCCCTCCACACAACAGCAAGAAGGAGAAAAAAAACAGGGGGACAATTAGATCAATCCGTAAGGCGAAGAGAAAGAATCTATGCAGCTGCTACTGGGGAGGAAAAGTCGTGCGTAATGGAGCAGATTTTAAGAAGAAAAAAAACCATCAACGCAACTATTAACTCCGCACTTGTTTAAGGAGACAATAGAGGGAGGCTGCCTGTAATGAAGTCGATACCCAAGAATGAATCTCAGATACAGAGAGAGGAGAGGGAGAGAGAGAGGAGAGGGGAGAGAGAGAGAGGAAGGAAGGGAGGAAAGGAGGGAGGGAGGGAGAGCAGAGGAATTCATCATACACCGATCTGTCAGTCATGATCAATAATGTTGGCAAAACCCACCTGATTTTCATCCATAGTCTTCCCTCAGCTTTACGCACTTTGCGCATAAACCCCACGGATGCGCGCACAGCTCTCCTCCTCTCTCACTCTCACACTCTCTCTCTCTCCGGATCCTCGGTGCTGGAAGAAAAAAAAAAAAGCGACTCCAAACCCCAAACGCTCCACATGAACCATATGTATCTCACTGCTCCAACCGCCTGCACCAAATCATCGCCTAATTGCGCCACTGTCGTCCAGGCGAGAGTCCTCCTCCCCCCTCCTTCTATTTAATCAAGTTTATCGTCAATCAATGGGATCGATTGTCCCTCCACAAATGGATGAGCTTTTTTTTTTTTTTTTTTGGTTATTCCAGCACATTAATAAGTCATCAGAATATGCTCACACAGACTCTTAATTGCCTCAACTTCAATCCATTTTTTTTCTACTGCGCCCATTGATTCCTTTTCCCTTTTTTTTGGTGCGTAAAAAAAAAATATCATAGGTTCTTTGTGGTGAATGGAATTAAATAAATGAACCGCATCCCATCTGCGGTGTAATAACAATTTGATAAGCTGTGTGGAGTGAGAAAAGCAGGCAATCGGAACATACCAGGGTGTTCTCTCCTGTGACAGTGTGGAAGATGTGCGCAACATGTCCAATCTGTGGCTTTTTTGCACTGCTGGGGCGCACGGAGGAGAGGCGTAGGGCAATGGCGCCATCTCGTGGACATAGTTGTGTAAATGCAACTTTAAAAAAATAAAAATAAAAAGAGTAAGTGGGGGTCTTCAAACTGTCACAAAAAACAATACAAAACAAAAGGCAGTGTTGGAATGGTCCCTTGTGGCACATTGGAACAGTTTAAAGCACATCTTGTTTGAATGGATCCATTTTTAGTCTTTTATTATCTCTTTTGTTATTGTTATCCAAGTTTCTTATTTCTAAGAACAGCAATAATCTTTATTTGTGAAGCGCTTTCCAAAATCCAAGCTACAAAATTGTTAAAAAAGGAACCAACAAGGCAAAGAAATCAGAAATCAAAAGACAAGAAAATCAAAACAGTGTTAGAAACAATAATAAAGGAAATAAAAGTGACTTCGAAGGGAGTTAAAAGTTAAATAAAATGTTTTTACAAAAAAAAGCTCTCCAACCTGATTATTCCAGAGCCTCGGGGCTCTGACTGCAAACCGTCGGACGCCTTTTAGTTCCCAGCTGGGCCCCTGGAACAGACAAAAATGAAACCCTTTGCCCGAGGATGTCCAAGTGCATATGGTATTAAGAGGATAGTGATAGGCCTCAAAAGTAATCAGTACAATCTTAAAATCTATCCTCAAACACACTGGGAGTCAGTGGAAAGAAGATGAAACAGGAGTAATGGGTTTGTGTTTCTTGGTTCTGTTTAAAATCTACAGTCGGGCGTCGATCAACATATTTCTGGTTCAGGCGCGTAAACAGGATGTTGGAGTAATCCAAGTGTGATGAAATAAAAGTGTGAGAAATGCTCTTTAAAGATGAAGCTAGACTGTGCTTTTGAAATGCCTCTAAGCTGATAAAAACAGGATTGTGCAGGTTTTGTGGTTTGCTGCTTAACACTCAGATTAGTGTCAAACCAGATACCAAGATTCTTTACGACAGGTTTGACAAGATATAAATAAGAACTAGCTGATGTTAGAATCTGTTTGGCCATGTGCTGCAAACAAGTAATCTCTGTTCTGTCTGAATCCAACTAAAAGTTGTTGGACATCCAGTTTTTGACATCAGAAAGGCAGCCATTCAGAGAACTGGATTTTAAAAGATTTAACAGGAAGGTACATCTGTGTATCGTCAGCATAAAAACGAAAAGCCATGTTTACGAACAATGTGCAAAGGCAGAAGCATGTATAAAGAAAATAAAAGTGGTCCCAAAACGGACCCCTGTGGGACACCAGACTTAATGACTTGGAATTAAGAATCTGAATCTTACCTTGAAAGTCATTTTGAAAATTACAAACTGGTTACTTATGAATAACGCTAACTATTTTCACAATTTAATGTTGCTCTGATGTGAACTTGAACATATATGTTAGATAATATACAGAAATTAGTGATTTGTTTACCACTGATAATTACATTCCTAACATATCTAGACAGATATTGACTTTTTGACTCATATAAACAGTAAAAAAAAAAACAGGTTTGTATATCTTTGTCATAATAAATTAGAGGCTTATTTTGTGCTGTGAAAATGTTACATAAATACAGCCTTTCATTTCCACAGATTTATTTCAGTGCTATTTAACATTAACAAGGCCACTATCACTCAAGAAAAGAGCTGAAATAAAAACTGACTATCTAGTGTTGGAAATTATGTTGAGAATCTGCATCTTACCTTGGTTTTTACACTTCTAATGGAGAATTTTTCAGCTACTTTTACTAACAAACCATTTACTTTTTGTAACTTGAAAAATGAAGATCAGTGCATCAAAAACATTCAGTATATGTAACCGAAGAACTTCTGCAGAGATTTTGTGTATTAGGGGACATCAGGGATCTAATCTGAGTTCAGCAATGATGTCAAAGTTTTCGTAGCACACTTTCTCCAACCTTCAGCCAGAATCCTTCCAATTTATACTGTAAATAATCCAAATGAAAAAGCCCAAACAACAATATATTTCTATGAAACGCAACACTTTTTTGACTTCGATGTACCTCCAAGCTCTTTAAATGATCCACAACTACAAACTTAGAATTTTTAAATGAAGGTAAAGCAATTTTATAAACTGGCAGAGAACTACAATTTCTAGAAAATGAAACTACAACTGGAGTACGTGATGTATTTGTGGGCGACTACTTTATCGGTATAACATCGTCTCATTAAAATGTCTAAGGTGTTTTATGCTTCAGTGACTTGTATACTTACATTATCATAAAAAAAATAAAAAAATGTGTCATTTTATTCAGTGTAGTGATGTCTTTCATTGTGTGAACTGTCAATAGTGTTGTATCCCATTTATGCGCCATCACAAAAAGAACTAGCTAACTTTATAGAACGCAAAGACAATGCTGAACTAGCTAGCTAGCCACACTTTTTTATTCTGTTCTTGGAAATACTCACTAGTGACGGAGATTGATTATTTTAACATGATTATTGTGACCATAGACAATAGTTTTAAGCTACACAACTGAATTCCCCATGTAAAGTTAGCTACGGAAGATAGTCAACTCATTTAATGGTAAGTTAGCAAGTAGCATTAGCTTGTGGCTGTTCTATTAGAAAGAAATAACAAAAGTGAATAAATGTAAATAAAATCTTAATACATTACCTCGTCTGCGAACATGATGTCTGCCCATCAGATGGATTTTAATCTGCAATGGAGGTTAGGATAACAACTTCCAAGATCTCATGCTACTTCAAAACATCCCCAAACTACCTCTTTTCTAATTGTTTAGTTTGGGAGAACCTCAAGTGGAAGAATTTACATTTGTTCAGGCAGTGTTACTCATTGTAGTGTTTTCTCTTGTTTCAACTGTACAAGTCTTTGGCATCACTCTTATGTGACAATACTAGTTTGCAGGTTGGGGGTGAGTTGCTGTGATAAGCTAAGTAGTTTCTTGAGATCTTGTTCACAATTGACGGGAAAATGGAGCAGAGATGAACAGACGGGTTGGGACTGCTTCATTTAGAATGTGGGCATTAAACCGGACTGTCATGGCGAAGGGGCGCTGAGCTGGAAGACAAGGCTGTCGATTTACTGGTCGATCTCCGCTCCAACCCTTACCCATGAGGTCTGGGTAGTATCTGAAAGAATGAAATCGCAGATACAAGTGGCTAAAATGAGTGTCTCTCGTAGAGTGGCTTGGCTCAGGGAGCTCAGAGTGGAGCTGGTGGTCCTTTACATCGAATGGAGCCAGCGGAGATGGTTCGCACATATGATTGTGATTCCTCATGGGTGAAATCCCTTGGAGGTTCTCCAGGCAATTGGAAGAAGACTCCAAGGGTAGATCCAAAACTCTGAAGGAGGTTTACATATCTCATCTGGCCTAGGAACATCACAGGATCCGCCAGGAAGAACAAGAAAACGTTGCTAAGAGAGGTACGTCTGCCACCACGACCCAACCTGGGATAAGCGCAAGAAAATGGATAGGCTACTTGATCGCAAGGTCAATTGTTCTCTACTTCTTTGTGGTTTCTCATTGGATCTGGCAATAGTTGGATGAATAATATATCCTGCATGGACTCATTAAATGTGGGTCAATATCCACTGAATCATTGTCTCTTATTAGCGTCACCAAGATAAATACTCGTGCCACTCTTGGTGACGTCAACATAAATTCCCTTTTTCAGCATAGTAAACAATGTGGGCAGGAAAACAAGAAATCTCAAAGACATAACTGAAATTGTAGGCGTCCGAAGAAGCAATTCCTGAGAAGGCAAATTAAATCTCCTGCAAACGCAGTAAACAAACATGATTGATGGAAGTGTATGACTCATATCTCAGAACCAACAAAACAACAACAACAACAACAAAGCCACACACAAAGAATCCACTGTGAGGTTTGAAGCAGTACATTTTTATTTATTAAGTGGTTGGTTTTTAACATTCTTGTCACATCTGAAAGGCTTCTCTAACTCTTCTCAAGTTCTCTAGAAGGTGAGCTTAATAACATATTACAACTGATGACAAAAGAAATGGCAAGATTAGCAAACAAAACAAAACAAAAAAGTCTCTTGAGGTTTGATTCCTGCTCTCCAGCACTCCTCTGGACACATTTCAACAAAAACATGTCCTCCTTCAAATGGAATAAGATACAAAAATAAGACAACTAATTGTGAAACAACGCAAAACTTGCCTCAGTATTAAACAGTGACAGAGCTGTAACTAGTCTGACATGTTCGAAGCATATGGTGAACCAACACAAGTCAATAACTATCCTGACTAATATAACTATTATTTATACCATCCGTGCAGGATGAATCCATATATACATGTTGTCAAGACCTTGCTGCACTAGCGTTTTTCAGTTATAAAAATAAAGTTTGGTCTTTCCTTTTTTTGTCTGGTTTTGTTCCATTTCATGGCTTTCTGTTTGAACATTAAGACATATCTACATTTGGTCTTCCTCAGTCCTTACAACTCTTACATGTGCCAGTGTTTCGAAGACTACCTTCAGGAGCAAACAAATACACACCATCCCCCTTTTAAGTTTACACGAAAGCATGTTTTGAATGGAACTGATGCAGCGTTTAGTCCAAAAATGGGTAATACATACAGGTAAGAATGGAAAGTAAAGTTCACAAAGTTAATCTGAGTAAGCTCCTACGTTTTTTTTTTTTTTGTTAACTAAACGAAAAGTTTAATGTAAACTTTTAGAACGTTTAGAACGAACAGTTTTGCTTTTCAGCTTTCGTTTTTCCACGTTATCGTCTCCCAACAGTGGATTCCCAAACTGCTGTTACACCTGCTGCTTAGGCACTAAAGCTGATTTCTGAAGTGGCCCAAAGAATCACAGCAATAAGTATAGCACATGTACAGTAACTAATGAGATGGTCACAAAATAAAGTCATCCAGTGAATGTTCTCTAAGGCAGAGTGGCTGTTGCTGTAACACCAACGATGCCCTGCTGCCACCTCCATTGAAACGCACATTTCACCTCACGTTATGTGCAGTTCAGTCTCTCCTTCTCACTCGAAATTTGATTCTCATACATTAACACAAGTAATCTACCATATAGGGGGTAATAATAGTGTTAATTTGATGGTTTGAATGAGGCGCCTTTGGCAGAACACCTTCGAGTTAACAACCCCGCTGAGCTGTTATCTTCTTAATGCAAAGCTGATGTTTTTCCTTTTTATCTATTAGCATGAAGCATTTGTTAAAGTGTTCTATTAGAACACTATCACAATAAGTTAGCTTCACATCATCGTAACTGGCATTTGGATGATGGTTCTTATGGTTCTCTTACAACCAGGATGTTATTGAGGAGGATAAGCGTCTGTATGGAGGTGAAAAGGGGGGATTGTGAAGATAAAGGAAACGCCCGTTGCAATCATTCTGAGCAGAGAAGGCGGAAATGTGAGAAATCCGCTACTGTAAATTGATAAAAGTGGTAATACAAGAAGAGAATTGCAAAATAACAACAGGTATTTGCCTTCTTTTTGACCCTATAATTCACCTAAACCTCTAATGGGAAACTCAAACGCTGAACGAACGTAAGTGGGACTCTGTTTGCTTTTCCGTATCAACAGGCGACATTCACACGTGAAAAAAAAGTTGATTTTCAATTCTAAAGCAAGAATCGAGCCTTGTGAAGGATTACGAGTGGAAACGTTCAGCCAGCAGGGCACAACAGTGGTCCAATCGCCGTGGAAGTGACGGTGAAGGAGATGAAAATGCATTTTCACGCAACTGGTTGTCTACAGTCGTTTGTATGTTTGCAGAATTTAAAGTGTGAACATACATGTGAGTTAAAAACAAACTGATTTGAGATGCTTCTGTAATAGCTGAGGGCCCCGGACACGTTTTTGTGTATCTGTGTGGGATTGCAAGGGTCAAATTCTGCTTTTCTCTGTTTACTGTCCGGTCCACATTCTCTCATTCACACACACACACACACACTCTTAGACTTTCACACACTACCTTCACCCTCTTTGCTAAAGGCGGTTCACCAAAAGCAGTACGACTCCGTCATCTGCATATGCATCCATATTCACAGAAGTAAATACAGATATATACAGCAGTAGTGAATCCTCTTCTGTCACTACAGTCTCCGTGTGGATAGCAGCGCCACAACCCGGCGGGCTGGCTGGCTTCATCATGGAACTATACAAGAATGTCACGACGATATTTTTGGCTCTTAAGCGAAAAGGTGGAAAATAAAATCCTTTGTACTTCACTCCTCTATCGGGATCCATTGTTCCTTTTTTGTTTGTTTCCTTCATTTTCCCGTCATCTCGTCCCTGCGCTTGCTCCGTCCGTTCCTCCATTATTTTTTTTTCCAGTTGAACGTTTCGATTTGCTTTGTCATTGTTAGCGGCTCGCTCGTCGTTTATCCCCAGCGGCCTGAGAGGAGAGGGGAAGGGGAGAGGTGGCAAGGCGAACAAAAGGACACAATATGTGAGACAAAAGGATCAAGAGAGACGTAAGAAAGAGTTAAGAAGAGGCAGAAAAATAACAACAGTTAAACAAAAAGAGAGGATTTCTAATGAGCAGGGAGGAATAAGCGAGAGGAGGGGGATTCAGGAAACAGCTGGTAAATGTGCCGAGCGGTCAATTAAAGGCAGGAGAATATGACGGTGGTTTCTCATCGCCGCCTGGGGAGTGGTCTGCTACGCAAACAAACACAAACTCCCCTCTTGGCAAAAAAAGAAACTGAAATCACAGAGCTTCGCAAATTTGCTCAAGTGCACACCACACGGCAGCTTGTCTTTGTGGTTTGTGAATACACAGCGGCAGTGGAGAGAGAAAACAAACAAACGGAGGGGATGAGGAACAGGCGCGAACGAAGAGGGAGAGTCTTTGTACTGCAGGTAAACTCTCTTGTGTTCTTACAATGTGTTTCACCAGACCAGGGATTTGGAGCGAGTGCTGACTCCTTTCCTCCTGCTGGCTGCCGCCGTCGCTGCGTTGCGGTGGCTTCGCTTGTGAGACTCCAGGTACAGCTGAGAAAAAGAGAGGAAAGAAAACATGACTTAGCTGTTACTCTGATGCATTCTAGGGGGGATATTTTTGTCAGTCCGTGAAGTTAAACTACTAGTTTACAGTTAGCTCTCCTTATTCAGCGAATGCAGCTTGATGCTTTACTGATGAATCTACAATGTTTCTTCACAAATCTATCCGTCGCTTGACCTTTAGAGCCAGAAAACAGGACAGAAAGTGACTCAGAATTTCCAGGATGACTTCTTTTAACCTTGAAGTCCATCCTCACATGTGTTAAGTTTGGACATGATAGCTCCCAGTCTATCGACACCAATACGTTTGTTATGACAGGAGACTTTTGAGGATGAAGTAACAACAGACTGAGATTCGTCTTTCAAAGTACCTTAAAGGTCCTGTATGGTTTTTAATTTGTTTCGTGTGTCCAACAAACTTCTATAAAGTGGTGACTGAAGCGCAACCCGTTAAGACGACATGCTAACCAGCAGTCACTTCAGAGCCATTTCCGAGCTACACTGATTCTAACTCGCCACACGCATGATTTAAAAGCTACTGAGCTGTGACTTTGGTTATATTTGCATGTCAAACGAGACAGAAACGCTTGGTCTCACACTCATTTCCCACTATGTTTTGCTGAGCGCTGTCAATCAGATGCAGAGAGTCTTCTTCCTGAACAAAGTGTGAGCAGCAGGAGCTCTGAAACAGCCCTTTTAGAGCAGAAAGAAAACCACGATTTATACAATCATGATGAAGTGAATCATCTTTGCAGTATTCTGAGATTAGACCTTCTGTGAGACTTTCACTGATTTGCTGAAAAGCAGACACAAGATGGGAGCTTTAACACCACTGTGAGAGGAAGAGGAGCGAGTGACACCGATACTAAGGTGGTGGAAGATCGATAACTTAATTTATATGATTCCAACTTCTTAGAGAATCATTGTTTGGCTTAATCAATCTAAATAAATGTCAGTTCACAAAACTTCAAGGCACTCTGGTCTGACCTAAGAACAAGACACTAATGCTCTTTATCTAGAGTCTTGACCGGGGCATTCTATGGGATATTTATGTCAGTAATTTAAAATCCAATACCTTCTTGGCAAAGGCCCGTCCACACTGGTCACAGGCGTGAAGGGAGAAATTCTTGGTCACCCTGACTTCAGTGGAGGATGTGGCTGTGCTGCTCTCTGATTGGGTGTCGTGCCGCCGGGTGTGTGGCGTCTGGCTGCCGGAGGGAGCGGCGGACGAGGAAGAGCTTCGCTGATGGGAGTGTTTTTCGCTGCGGCGGGGGAGCGGCGGACTGACGGGCCGGTGCTGGTGGGTCTGCTGTCTCTCCTGCTTACGGGTGATGGGAGGCGATGGCGTGAAGACTGGCGATGAGACTTCCTGCTGTTTCCGGGTCACGGGGGCAGGAGGAGGGACGGAGGTGGAGGACGAGGAGGACGAGGACGAGGAGGAGGCCGAAGAGGCGGTCGAAGCAGTTGTGGAGCACTCCTGCTTGCGGGTGACGGGAGGCGAGGGAGAGGAGGAGGGCGAGGAAGAGGCGTGGCGTCCGTTCACTTCCTCTTTGACGCTGCTGCTGCTGCTGCTGCCGCTCGTCCTCTTGTTTGTGCTGTTGAGGACGACCTCCGCGAGCCTCTTCACCGCTCTGCTCTCTAGCTTGGGCATGATCTTGGCCAAGTAGGCGGACGACTTCTTGTGCACGACAGTCACGTGGCGCAGGACGTCGCGTTTGCGGCGAGACTCGTAGCGGCAGAGAGGGCAGCGGTAGAACTTGATGAAGATGTCGTTGCCGTCCGTGTGCAGCTCAATGTGCTTCGTTAAGTTCTGACGCGAGCTGAACTGTCGCTTGCACAGTTTGCAGAAGAGCTGCTTGAAGTCAAAGCCCACTGACAGTTTGGTCATTTTGGCGGCTACGCCACCGCTGCACACGTTGCTGCCGCGGGAGGACGATGAAGACGATGGCGGCGGCGGCGGCGGCGGCAAGGATGGCGCCATCTTTGGGCCTGACGGCGGCTCCTCTTCCTTCACCTTCATGGCATTTTGGACCACAGAAACTCCTTTAGCTGCCCCAGTGCTGTCGCTAGGAGACGGAGACGGGGCTGGACTACTGTCAATGTCTTCCTCCTCCTCCTCCTCCTCCTCCTCCTCGTCTGAGGGCTCCACTGCTTCCTCCTTCACTCTCACATTGTTGCTGGGAGCCACGGTGCTGTTATTGTTATTGGTGCTGCTGCCACTGTTGCCACTGTTGCCACTGTTGTTGCTACTGCTGTTGCCACCGCTGCTGCTGCTGCTGCTGCTGCTGGGGGTGGTGGTGGTGGCGGTGGTGGCGGTGGCAGTGGCAGCAGTGGCGGTGGTGGTAGGAGTGGCTGCTGCAGTAGTCGGGGTCGGCGTGGGTGCAGACCTGTTACTTTTGATGCTGTATATCTTGTGGACGATACGCATGTGTCTCTTCAACATGAGCTGAAAGATACAGAAACACAAAATTATAAATCAATTGCTGAATTTCTTGGAAAATCGCTACTATAAAAACAATCATCTTATATATTTTTAAAACTCTCAGTCCCACATGTTGCCAGGATCTGAACCTTTATACTCACTGACCACCAAAATCTGCCCGGTTTGAAAGGCATGCTGTCTCTAAAGTAGTGCCAAAATTGTATAATTTTTCAAAGCAAGGAACAGAAAAGATTTGTTTGATTGAACAGTGACGGGTCATTTTGTCTGAAAACGTCACCAAACTTCAGCCCGTCATTGTAATATATTTTCTAAATCGTCATTTAAAAGTCAACAGGTCACCAAACCAACCTGAGAGCTGTAGTTCCTCTTGCAGAGTGTGCAGCGGCATGAGGTGGAGTTCGTCGGTGGAGTGGCCGGGGGCTGAGTCTGAGGTTTGGCTTGGTTTTGGTTTGAAGGAGGTGTTTTAGAGTTCACGGGGGTGGACTTGGAGCTTTGGGCTCGTGTTGGAGACGCGTTGTTGCTCTTCCTGGGAGGCGTGACTTCCAGCGTGAAGGGCTGGCCGGGTCGCGAGGCGATGCTGGGCGTGATGGCGTCCCTCCGCAGACCGCGATGCACCTCGTCGAAGTGGCGGCGTACGTTGGCTTTGGTGGCGAAGGTTTTGAGGCACACTGGGCAGGATTTTCCGGTCGGTGTGCTGAGAGTCCTCGGGCGACCTCCAACATCAAAAACAATCATTATCATTTCAATTAAAGTTCAACTTGAAAAGCAAAAATAGATTGACTGCACATGGGTAAGGTTAAAAATGAAGACAAATAACTTTACAAAATTAGTCTGAGACTCTTAAAAGCTGTGCGACTGAAGGAAAACGATGAAGTTTCTTTCTGTTCAAGATATTTCAGGCTGTTTTTTTCTTCAAAAATTAACTAATCAACATGATCATTCAGCTCTCTGAAGAACAAGTTAATGTCGTTTAGAAACACAAACAGCCAGAGTTTCTAAACAATGTTATCCAGTCTTGTGTCTTATCAGTGACCTAACAGAGGGTAAGTTAGGACGCTGTAAGTAAAATATGGACTTTGCTTTAAAAAGATTAAGGACACAAGTTTTAATGAGCTTTACTGGCCTTTTTACGCTAGACATTTTGACTCTTCATAGTAGGAAAAAGCACAGGTATACATTATAAAGATTAATGACAGCCTGATTCCTTTTAGTCATCTCTTGACGATAGGTCAGCTTTCTACTGTGGAGTTTGAAAACCAGTGCTTGTAAAAGTTCTTTTCATGTAACGCAATGACTATGACAAATATTTTACAACATAAACACCACATTCACTCCTCGTTCTTCATGTTATGTGTAGAACTCTTTACCTTTCACCATAGAGAGCAGGCTTGTTGGAACTGTGCGTGTCTCTGTGAACTTTCTGAGCTCCTCCAGTTTTGTCTGGTGCATTTTGCGACAGTGACGCCTGATGCTGCGACGCGAGTTGAAGTCTTGGCCGCAAAGACAACATGAGATTGTCACGTCCTCAACCTGCAGGGTGAAAAGAGAAAGAATGAGAAGATAGATTTACTCACTAATACTGGAGTCCAGATCATCTTTCACTCTGTTTTGAGTCATCGTTCACCTACCCCGCTGTTGGACCCCTCGTCTTCAGGCGGTGGCTGCTCCTCTTTAGCCTCCTCCTCGGGCTCCCACCTCCTCTGTCCCTGGTTGGGTCCTGGGCTGCTGTGGCTCTCTGGTCCGCCTGGCTGGCTCGCCTGGTTGTTGTCCACACCCTCCACTGGTTCTCCTTCCCAGGCTACAGGACTCTCTCTGGCACTGTGAGGAGCGACGAGACGTATTAAATAAAGTACAATGAAGCCAAGTCCACACGAGTAATGATTATGCAGATGAAATAAACATCTTAGTCCATCAGAGGAGTAGCTACCTGGGTGTGTGTGAAGGGTATCTGGCCAGCTCCTCCTCTGTGGTGATGTACTGGAACACCGCCTTGTTCGTGGTCTGAATTGGCTCCAGTCGCATCACGTAGTCCGGCCGGTCGGCTCGGGGATAAATGGCGTCTAACAAATCCTTCATGGCTACACTCTGCCTGTCGTCTCCTGATGAACCTGTAAAAGAACAAGCCCCACCAGAAATCAATTAATTATCATTAAAAAAACAAACAAACAAACAACTACTCATTTAAAAAAGCAAATGTTTATCCCTTGTTGGGTGAAATCAGCATACTGTACCTACTATAAGAGATTCAAATCGATGCTATTGATTCATGTTACTTTGGTGGCTGCTCAGATTTCAGTCTGCTTAAAAAGGCAGATCAGTTCGCTTTTCTAGGAAATGCTCCAATACCCCAGGGCCCCCCAACGAGCAACTTATCAGCAAACCTAATGCTGGAGCTCATGTTAGCAAAATAACAGATGGTTTTTGTCGATACAGAGAAACCATGTATGTTTAACATAGCACTGAGTTTCACTGCTGTGTTACCCATGTCCCACAGCTAGTGATTTATCTTACAAAACACTAATGTAGTCAGTGTAAGCCCCAGTGTAATTCAGAGAAGCTGGAGGAAAGTTGTTATAATATATAAACACTCTGTAGACTCTGATTTAGTGCACTGTGCCTAATACAGAGTGAGTCAGAAATTTGTAATAATAATATTTGCTTTAAAAGCAGCAAAGATTGTAGAAAAGGACCCAATTTTGCATTTACAGTTTCCACAACTTCCATAACAGAGGTGTGTTTTACTGATAACGCCATTAAGAACAGACATGAGAGCTGATATTGGATAATAGAAGGTGATGCAAAATCAGTCCTATTTTGGGGGGACAAAACCCATTATGATGTTTTGTTTTTCTGTAACATATAAAACACTGACGCTGACTTGAATAAAACTATTTGTAAAAAAAGTCATTATTCCAGAATGATTGGGGTGATTTTGTAGGTGAGTGCATCGAAAATGGAAAATAATTTTTAAAAAGCTGGGAAAAAAAACCTTTTTGGAACAATGGCAAAGGATGTTAGTTTTTTGCTTTAGATGGCATTTAGATTTGACTTTGCATTCACCATACAGAGTTGTGTTGCTAATTTGAATAGTCAAACTTGGTGTGCTAGCTTGTGCAGTGGCAACAACTGCAAAACACCATCAACAGCGTACCTGTTTCTACTCAGCAGCATCCTTTCTATACCTGAAATATTTCCATACCACTGCACGTCTTTGCACAACCAAATCTTTTTTTCTTGTGAGCAAACTCCATGTTTTGTGAACAAAGTTTTTCAACAAACAACAAAACTCAGTGTATCCAAAACACCTGAAGTTGAAGTAAATTATGTTCTACGAGACCGACTTCTCTTGTAGATTAGTCACGAACAATTTGAACTATGCAACTTCTTTTTGTATCAAGCAGCGTGTAAAAATGTAATTTGCCTTACTTCACACTGCACTTTGACTGTCACGTCAATGCTGAAACGCTAAATGGTGCACCCCTTCCGTAACTAGTGGAAAAAAATGACCTTAATATAATAAAACATAAACACGAGCGTTCATTTAGCTGTGACATCCTCACCTGACACATCCCAGTTTGACTTCATGGGTTGCGAGATCATCCAATTAAAAAGAGAGACTGGAACTTAATAGCTAAAGGTGTTGCATCAACAGTAGATGTGTGTCCTGTTAGAATATGTTTGACCAACACACCGAACCCCAACCTGCTTCCCTGTTGTTGCAAATTGCGTCTGGGCGTCAGATAAAAGTGTCAAAATGTAAACAGACAAGATCATCTCACAGGGGCCGGCTTCCCCCCTCGCTTCAATTTACTTTTGTGTTACTGAACAAGAAGGTAAAATGGAAAAACTATTAATGCGGTTAGAATGTAGATAGGTTTTGGTGCTGAATGAGACGAGGGCTACAAAACATTTTCTGTTTGGTCAGTTTTATCCACGCGGAGCTTCCTTTCACAGCGATTAAAGTAATTTTGAGCATTATCAATGTGGATTTTCCTCTTTTAGCAAATGTGAAAGCTCCTTTAAAACAAATACACGAAGAGATGATGGAAAAAGAGGCAGTGAGTTTTAAATGTCTCACGAATGATCAGACGACGATCATGTCTGGATGGTGAAAAATGCAGCGTTCAAGGGGAAAAAAAAGTCGTGTTTATCCACTAACCACAATTACTGCAGAGCCTCAATGCTGAAAAAAGGCCCCAATTAGGCAATTTATCCAAATAATAACTCAACACGCTTGGACTCGTGAAGAAATAAGTCAGCGGTGCCACTTCATTGCGACCACATACAGATGAAGATGAAATTACTCCCTTTTTTTACCACGGCAATCATTACATTGGAGAAAAAGGAGCAAATTATAATTGACTGTGTTAAGATCGATTCCTTTTAAAGTAGAAGAGGAGAGTTGGGTAACAGGGAAATTACTTGAAGGGTCTTCATCCTTTCCTGAAGTCTCCTTGCATTTCTGAGCAGTAAAGAGTAGAGACGCGGACACATACTGTGGCTAATGAGAGGTAGATAAAACACAAACACTGAGAGATCAAAGTCTCTTTTCTTAGTGATATGAGAGGAGAGCAGGGGAGAAACTACACTTTGAGGAGGGAAGATGATTGATGGATAGAACATGTGACAGTGTGCACAGACAGAGGAGATAATAGCGCAATAATGAGGAGGAGACAGATGGCGTTAAAGAGAGTGAAGGAGCCTCGGAGTGAAAGTAAAATGTGAAGACGCCCGAGGAGACGCGGGAGAAATCGGTGATTCTGTGCAGAGAGGGTTTGTGTGATTGTAAACAAAACTTGAGCTGAAGTTAAGCTTGATCCCTGCCTTCTTCTTAGAGTCACTGTTGGTCTGTATGATCTCTAAAAATGTCCTAATTGAACATCGTCAGCATTGACAAACGCTCTGACGCCATGTTGTGATCGTTCTACCTGTTGATGTTATTATTAGGTTTAAGGGCATTTTTGATCTTTTATGTTGTTTTTGTGCTTTGACATCAGAGGGCTATACTACAAAGAGAGATTAAAGAGTTATCAAGATATATTGAGCGTGAAGTCAGACTTATGTTCAGAGTTAGGGATCTAAATAAGAAGCGCCAATCTTTCACCGATTGTTTTCTCTATGAGGTTTAGAGACACTCAGCTAAGGAAATACATTATATCTGCTGAATTACATGTGAGTAACGCTGCTAATCAAAGCCGTGCATTCAGACTAATGCAAACTGTACCATGCAAACCTGGAGGGATTCAGCTGAAGATGCAGAAAATGCACAAAGATGCTCTTAAGCATGACTCTGATTTGCTGCCAAGCCTGTTTTACGCTGCTGGTGCTGCAGCTATCAGCACCACATTAGAAAATGGATTAAAAATGGATCTGTTGGTATTTATCGCACAAAATATTCAATCAGGAACATTAGTTAGACATTGTTGTGGTCAAACGTTACCCTTTATTATACCCTAATTTTCAATATCATTGCTTTCTGCCATCATGCTTTCTTCATTGTTACAACATGGTCCTTTTGACTGAAGCAGACGACACACCACTGATACATTTTGTGCAGAATAAGAGCCAAACGACTCGTCAAGCTCCCCCATTCGTGGGACCACGATGATGGCAACCTACTTAAAGAATTATGTTGATATTCACCACTTGGGGTTGATTGGGGTTTCAGGTTTTACCAGACCAGTTCCTCCGTAAAAAACCTCTCAGCAATAGGACTACAAATGTATCCTTTTCATATGCGTGCTGGGTCACTAACCGTCGGGTTCAGGCAGCCGGGATAGGCAGTAGTACTCCTTGTGTGTGATGAGGTTCGGCAAGCCCCTGAACAGACTGCGGCACAGTTTACACTCGAAGATGGTGTCCACCTCCCTCAGGAGCATGTGTTTCAGCTGGCTGGTGCCTGCAAGACAAACAACAGTCGTCTTGAGTAACTTAATTGCCTTCAGAGATAATGGAACGGACATATACAGTGTATTGTAAAAAGTCATCGCATTCCTAATAGTGGGAGTTTTTACAAAGAAACCACTCTCTGTGGTCTTTTTTCTGGCTGCAATCAGCGTTACATCGCTGTTATGCTCCACCTAGCAATCACTGAGACATGATGGTTGTAGTGCAATCCGCTACACAAAAGCTTATTCATGCAATTCAAGTCTTGAAATTGTTAAAAAAAAAAAAAAAAAAAAAAGGAGTCTGCAACACTGTATATTTTTTTTGATAAGCCCAGTTTCATGTAGAAAAAGCATTCAGCAGATTGTAAATAAGATTTGTTCTAAATCTTTATGAAAAAAGCTCAAATAGGAAAAACATCTGTAAGCTATATGCTTTTATATGATCTTATACAGTTGATAATGGCTAAAAAAAAATTGAAGTTAAACAGAGGAAGAGCTGGGAACTTCCAGTTTGTATGACAGGCCTGCTGGGTAAATTTGATAGTAGATTTGTTGAATCCCAGGAATAATCTCTATGGCCTTGTAACAGGATTTCAGATGATGACAGTCTTTGTGCAAAGTGCTACATTTGCATCACTGCTGTCATCATCTTTGACATCTTTTTTTTCATCATTGTCATCAGAGTGATGACTCAAGTGTTCCGTCTCACTTCGATTTGTCCGTATGGAAGCACTCAGTGCATTGTTAGATATGTGACTCACATTCGCTTACAGCATGTAGCAGCATGTATTGTATGCTCTGTTGGGCATTTTATACCCATGTGCACAGACACACACATTTGTTTGATGCAAAAAAAACACTGAGTAAACACTGTTACGGTGACTCACGCGGACGTCAGTACGACACATACCTGCACACACACACACACACACAGACAGGAAACACACACTGCTGAGGCCTCTCACCTGTCACTTCGTTTTATCTGTTGCCCCTTTGCCACTGGCCCAGTTAGGATGCAACTGTGCTGTGTTGTGGCATGATTGTATACTACAGCAGCAGGGGATAATCACACTGACCCCAAAATATTACGGCCCTGCCTGGAAGCAGTCCTGGAAACAATAACCCAATCACACGAGCCCCCCCGCTCACGGACTCATAGACTTTGAGAAACGTTCACAAGAAGCATAAATCTTTCTGTGAGTCTGCACACTTGCCAATAGTTCATTGTGAAACTGGTGATGTATGAACGTATTTGTCCTGGAACCCGCAAAATGTACACAAACCAAGCGTGGATGGTGCAGGAAAGGAATCCGCTAGGAAGTTTATCTGGAAGTGACACTCAGTGCTGTGGTTATTTATTGCCTGTTTGTAGAGCTGTTTGTATTTTCAGTCAAACATTCGCACTGGATTTACAGATTTTCATGGCTTTCCTGACTTTTAGCAGTTTGTTTAAATGTACAAACACTGTAATGTGACAAAGGGGAAGCGTTTAAATGAGTAGCTAACCGAATGAAACACAGGTCCATTATGTCTTTCTTTAGTTGGCGCTGTCACCAAACTGCGTCATCGTCTTTACGTCATTTCAAGACATCATGAAACGACAGCTCTGACTTTAGTTAAGTGTGGGAAACTTTAAACC